CACCCACTTCCCAGATGGCACCCTCCCATAGCCTCCCTCCCCCCACTAGAGCCCTTATACTCTGAAATCCCTGCTACTGTCTGCTGTGCTGTCGGCACCCCCAGCCATTCCCCACTACTTGTCCATTTGGTGAATCTAGTCAGCCTATCTAGAGGGCTTTGTTTTAGGAAGGTCAGCTGTTCCTCATCTAGCAGCAATCAGTTGTCAATATTCCTTTAGATAAGATTGGGGTCTGCTGTTCATTTTCCCAGTTCTATGCTGGGTTACTATCTGGGAGTCCCTTTGTCCCTTTTGACTCCCTTTGGGAGTCCCTTTTTTTATTTTCCTCATCTATTCTCTGCCTTGGTTTATCTGTAAAGTGGGGACAATAATACAGTTATAATGATAGTGCCTCTTAGGATGAAAAAAACCAATGCACATTATTATGGTTAGTATTGATTGTCAACTTGGACAATCCATGGGAAAATCACCTTGGTGACAAGTTTCTGGGTACACTTGTGAGACATTATCTAGATTAGTTAGCCTCTGGACCTGCATGTAAGGGATTATCTACATTAGGTTAATTGAGATGGGAAGACCCATGCACTGTTAGTAATACCATCCCATGGTCTGGGGCTCTGGACTGAATAAAAAGGAGAAAGCAAGTTGATTATTCTTGATTGCAGATGCACTGTGACCAGCTGTTCTGAGCTCCTGCCACTGTCACTTCCCCACCATGATGGATTGTGCTCTCAAACTATGAGCCAAAATAAACCCTTCTTTAAATTGCCTTTGTCGGGGCATTTTAAAACAGTAACAGGAAAAGTAGTTAATACAGGAAGTGCTTTGAATAGAATAGTTTCTGACCTATGGCCGGTCCCCCATACATATTAGCTACTGGTGGCATTTCAGAATGTCACTATGTGCCAGACATTGTCCTAAGGACCATCAAAAGATTGTCTCCTAAAATTATCCACAATACTGTGATGTTGGTACCAGTGTTATCCCTACTTGACATAGGGGCATGAACTGAGAGCAAAGTTAACTCCCTTACCTAAGGATACCACTGTCTCCCTCTTTGGAGAATGTGTCCTCTTCTTTTCTATCACAGGGATGTACGACCATCGTACTACCCTCCCTTAAGGAGGTCACCTTCTCCAGGGCTGTCAGGTAGCCCTCAGGGTGAAGCTGCTCATCTCTAGCCATGAAGACAGGACCATCAACAGCTTGATCTGGGCGAGGGCAGGGCTCTCTTACTGCCCCCGCCACAAAGTTAGAGGCCTCTCTTACTGCCCCCGCCCCAAAACAAAGCTGAGCAGGATGGGAGAGATGGCTGTACTTTTAAAACCAGTTTGAAGAACTTTGTGCTGAGGATCTAAGTAACTCTGTACTTTAATCAGCTGCCTACATTGGTCCTCTACCATTTCAGAAACAAATTCAGACTCTTGGAGTGAAGCAGGGTAAGTTGAGAATGAGAGTGGCTTGAATAAACAGGTGCAAAGAACAACATCTCAGCTCCACCAAGCCTCCATTACCTGCCATTTCCTCCTTGCCATGTACTTCTTCATCCGGTCCTTGGATAGTTTCTTGGCCTCCATGTTCTTGGTGTCTTTCATCAGCCATGGGTGCTGAAGGCACTGGGTGCAGTCCAGGCGGTTTCTGATGGAGGCAGAGATCAAAGGATTTCTGAGCAGGAAGGGTCTCAGAGATAATAGTTCAGACCATAAATAATAAGTCCCGGTTACACAGAGCACAGTTGTCCAGGGCTCCCTCTTCCCAGTCTACACATTATGCATGATTCAAAGTCATTATGTGCTTGGCCTTTTCCCTCTTGGTCTGAATTACACTGACTGAACCCAACACAGGCCAGTGTTAAGAAGGCTTAACTACCAGTAGAGCAGCTAGAGCCTCAACCTTCTGGGGTCTAAGGGTGTCACTGCTAAAAGGCAGACTTGTCTGGTACCATATTCCAGGACAGTGTCATTCTACTGACACATGGGGGCTGGGATTGTTGGGGGTCTAATCCTTTTGCGTCTCCATACAGGGTATGGAAGAATGAAATTCTAGGATAAAACCTGTGGGACTCTCTGAATGCTCATATCTGATGGTGTGGTTGAGTATCAGGTTTGTCCTGATACACTCCAAAGAGGTATGTCCTACATGCAAGTTATCAATTATGGCAGCCTAAGAATTGCAGTTTTCTATCACAGGCAGGGATATCCTAGAAAGGCCATAACCAGGTATTAAATTAGATGTGAAGAAAATACCAAGCCAGAGCAATTTGGGGCTATAACAAGGACCCTCTAAAAGGCTGTTGGCTGTCTCTGTTATCTGTGCTTGTGTGTTAAAGGGGTACTTGCTCTGTGAACTTTGAAGAGAGGGAAGACTTTGAGGGCTCTACCCAGACAAAAAATAAAAGGGTAGTAATCACTCACACAGACGAGCTACACTTTCCTTGAGACTGTTGCTCAGGGCTACTACCTTTCTAGTGGGGTTTCTGTGCTTCTAAAGAGAAGTGGGGATGTCTGGCACAGGGGGCAGGGGCCCAAAAGACCCTCTCTACACCACTCAGTGGCCACCTTTCCCTCTTCAGGGCACACAGGAATGTGGAATCAGGAGGAAGGAACCCCATAGATGAAGGAAGGCTTTGTCTCTCAGCACCAGCCCAGAGACTGGGGAAGCTGACAAGATTGTGATCCCAGCTCATTACTTCATATCTTTCTTCAGCAAGTTGCTGATGAAATCTTTGGCGTCATCGGAGATCTCATCGAATGCCTCGTCATCAAAGTCCCAGGTGGCTGAGGTGACATTGGCTAAGGTCTCATTGTCGTTGTCACCCATGAAAGGGGAAAGTCCGCTGACCCTATGGGAGAAGAGCATGCATGAAGGGGAGGTGAGCAGGGAAGGACCGGGGGAAGGGGGCATGTGTCTCCCAACTGAGTGCTGAGGTCAAGGGTGAGGGCTTGTGAAGCCCTCCATTCTGCACCCCCAAGTGCACAGTACATGGCCCTTGCATCTGCCTTTCTTCTGCCTCAAGAAAGAAATCCATAAGGGCTTCTGTGGCCCAGTCTCTTCTCAGTCACTCACTGAACTTTAATGGTCACTCCAGGCTCTTGATATCACCCGCCTGTGAGGCTGAGGTGGAAGACTTGATTAATCTATAGGCTTCCTCCAGGTGTGAAGCAGGGCCAAGAAATTTTCGTCTTCCTCTCCCATCCCAAAGTCTAGGCTGGCCCTTGCCCCTTACAGAACCTTCTACAAGACCCTTCCTCATTTCTAGTCTCTGGTATACCCGTCTGTATTCTCGCTTCTATCTCTCTCTACACCTTCAGCTCCAAGAAGGGGGCCCAACATATAGGGATGGCCAGGAGGCCCAAGGGGACTGAAGCATTAATGCTACACTAGAAAGTGAACCCAAGGGCTGTGTGGTAAAAGACAGAGTGCATCCTCTTTATTATCTGAGTGACCTCGGGTGATTTCCCTCCTCTCCATGTCACTTTTTTCCTGCTCTAAAGTAGTCTCTCAATTAACTATAGGGTCCCTATCTCCTTTTCATCAGCGGGAGACATTTAGTATACATTACCATGTCAGGTAAAGAGGCAAAGTGAATGAACTCATTAACTCCTAACACCACCCCAGAAAGCAGGTAGGGAGATGGCAGGTCAGGCCGAGAATGGGTCAAGTAACCTCCCAAGGATTCCCAGACAGTGGGCTATAAGCTCAAGTTTGGCTCCAAAGGTGACCCCTGCTGCTGCTGCTGCATGCTCAGCACATTTCTATGCAGATTAAGAAGGCTGTGTGCACTGCACCAGCACACAGGGATGTCCACTGTTAGGGCTCATTTGGCACCACATATACTGTACAGTTCTTGTAGATCACCTCTACTGTTTCCCCATCTCATTTACCAGTAGCCTAAGACAAATACAATTTGGAAGGTTGAGAATCTCAGCACCAAATAGAGCAGACTAATGGCTCTCCAGCCTGACATGTGACTTCTGTGTGCCTCCTCTTCTTCACACCAGCAATCCCCTTACTGTACATGCTGACTCCATGGATATGTGACCTGTACAGCTGCCTGGAGTCCCACCTTGAGGTAGATGCCAAGCTTGGTTTTTCTGCTCTGATGCTATCATGTTGAATTTGTAAATAATGTTTCAACAAATGGTCCCAACTCTTCAGTCTGCCAACTATATACTTGCTCTTGACCTGACCCTGTCTGAATCCCAGAAAACAGATCTAGGGCCCTCTTTAATCAAGGCTTTATGAACATCTCCCAAATCCTTATTAATCCATCATCATAAACTACAATGCACTAACATTTTCTGGAGCTGCTTCTGCATTTGAAAGGCCTCAGCTTATGAAATACACTTGTACCCAAACACTGAGCTTGAACAACCCCCACAGGAGAAGGCTGGCCACTGGAGAAGCCCTCTGGTGAATGCTTTTGCAAAGAGTGGAGAGCTTATGCAATGTGAATTTTCTCAATCTAATCAACATATTTATGTTTTTGTGTAAGAGATTTTTGTAGACAGCTTTTCTGAAAGCAAGACACTGACAAAGTTCATGAGAGCAATCTGGTTCATTCTTTGTCATGTCCTCATGAGGGACTGGTTCTGAGTTTACCAGCCCTTGAGTTCGCACTGTTACATGCTACTCCCTTCTTTTCTCTCGGCCTTAGCTTCCCATTTAGTCACCACAGGGACTGGGCTATATTTCCTGAGGACCTCCCAGTTCCCCTCAGCTCTGCCACGTGTGTGGCCTAAGTGAACCCCTTTCCAGATGAAGCCTGTCTCTGCATGTCAACTACCTGCTTCTTCTTGCCTTTACATTTTCCATTTGAAGCAAGGAGGGGGAAAGTCCTGCAGTATGCCAAAAGATGGCAGAAAAAGCAAACAACCTTGCTGAGGAATGCCGAAAGGGCCCCTTCTGCAAGTCTCCTTTCCAAATTAGGAGTTGGAATCCTGCAAAGATAGGCCTTAATCTCTGTAACTTTGCAGGCAGGGAGAGCCCCGGCCTCTGGCCTTGGCACTGCTCCTTTCTGGCAGCACATCCATCTGAAACACTCTGTGTCCTGCCTGGCTCTTTGCCTGCCTGAGTGTCTCCCAGTTCTCCATTTTGAAGAGCATGTCTCTAGAACAAAGCGTACGGCATGGGCACACATAGCAGGATGGCCAAGAGAATTTTTAGAATTTTTTTTTCTTTTGGTTTTGTCTCTGCATGCTGTCTTTGAACTCATGATCCCCCTGCCTCTGCTTCCCAAGTGCTAGGATTACAGGCATGTTCTACTATGCTTAGTTTGGTTTTTAAAGGTTTTTTTTTTTTCCTGTTTTGGACTTTATTGCTAGAATTTGCGTAAGGAATCACGTCTTTTTATCTTTTTTTATTTCTTTTAAATCTTTTTGAAAAAATATTT